TTTATCAAGAAAAGACTTGACAAATCGCAATTTTTAGGAGTTTACAGTCTAGCGTCTTTAAAGCCTCATTGCTGATTTATGAACCAGCTCGATCGAGATATGCATATGCGTATCAAGACTACGTTGAACATATTGATATATGCGCATGGTCTACATTTACAATTAACTTGCCAATAAGACCACTGCAGTGCAGTTTGTGAAATCCCTTTTTTGCACAAAAAATTCCAACAGGATAATAAAGTACAGTGCGAACTTCCGAACGGGTGGTAACTGCCAAATCACCCGGCCTGTAATCCTGCGCACAGGTGATTTTCCCGATATTAGTCACGTGCTGCGCCTTACGAATATCACCATCCGCCCAAGGTCATAGGTCAAAAGATTCGCATTTGGCTGGCTAACTTTCAACTTGACCTAGCTTCTTTAGTCGATTAAACAAAATTTGTTTCCTTGTTCCTATAAGAGCACGTTTCACTGTGCGCTGACCACGTCACGTATGGCACGCTTAGAGGGGTTATTTAGCTTTTTCATCAAGTGTGCTCAGTGGCGCCTCTGGAGATCTGACGCCTTCTTGCCACTGGCACCAGGTGGGGCAGTGAAGTGAAGATTGTGCCAGATGCTGTATAATTCCGTTATCACTACAGATGCATTCAGTCGCAGGTCACAGTCCTGCGACATCCACGATTTGGCACACGGGGCATCTTCCTCCACTAGGGTCTAACAGATTGTACCGTGGTTTTATCTCAGCTGCAGTGTCTATGAAAGAGGGTGTATGTTAGAACAATGAGTGTCTGTACAGTCACCGGCTCCTTGTGAATTCGTCTACCAGATAAAAGCATTTTTTTGCTCTGTGTTTGGTAATGCATCATTAGTTTTCAGTACGACCATAGCGGATGAACACCGCATAGATCAGTTAATACTAATGTTTCAGTAAGGAAATTTGTTAAAGGCAGGAGGGAATTGCGAATATGGTGAATATCCTGTATTTGCGAAATGGGTAATCTATGGCAGCTGAGATTTGCAGGCTTGTAATTACTGTATTGTGTATGATACGCAGAAACAGTTGATTGCTTTTAGACTCATACACTTGAAAAACGACAATAAGTGCGAGCAAATAAGTGATAAGTTTTGCGAGTTCATTGACCATTCGCAAAAAGATTCACGTCTCTTCACAAACTAGCTAAAAGGACATTTCATGACCATCTGAAAGAACACGAACCGTGATCTTGAACATATTTCAAAATCCAGCCCTAGTTCCTCTCTTAATTTTTACTCTCATGAAGATATCAGTCATAACAAAACATTTCATCCTGCTTTGTGAAGATATCCATGACTAATTGTGCTCATAAACCTATCATTTGCCTTATTTCAAGATTGTTGTAAGCTTCATTCACATGCCAATGGAGTAAACAAAATGTAAGTCTAACCTAGGGCAAGAGTTCATCCCAGCATTAATCTTTGAACTCCACTCAACACAGGAAAAATTGAAGGAATACAATCCACGTTTTAAGGTTGTGCAAAATACGATTTTAACTCACAATACTCCACCTGCAAAAGACCATGATAATGATTTTTAACAAATAAAGTTGTCATTTGTTTGCATACCCTTCTAACTTTACTTCGGTAAGACTGATTTCTCTGTTTACACTTAATGTAGACTTCCGGCGCTAAACATTTTCTCGTGTGCAGATTTCTTTCTGTGACTTTCTGGTAACTTAACGACTCGTTGGTAAATATGAATGGTTGATTTGTGCGCCGATCAGGCCGCGTTTGGCCCACATGACAGTCTAGTAGTATTTGTCAATTATTTCTACAACTTGCCCATCAGCATGGTGGACACAGTGATGGGGACGTACGCGAGAATCGATTTATAGTGAAAGCCGATGTGCGCTCTACTAACCGCACTCTCTCTTCTCTCGCAAACATGTATCGAGTGATAATACGCTCGAGAATACTATAGGCGGCATAAGGCATAGTTGGCTGTCACGGCGTGAACCCGTAGATAGGCGTGATACCACAAGTTCTGGACCACGCACAAAAGACAAGGACTTCATACAAACAAGAAAGGAGACACACAGGATCCCCAACTGGATGCGAATATCATGGAAGCCTCTTTTAGATCGACTCATTGCATAGCGATTCTCCGCCCTCCACGGAAGAACACGTTAATACGTCTCTTTGCAGCCTTCCGATCCGGGACATATAGCGCACCACGATAGATTCAAATGTCGCCAGTGTTTCGCAGTACGGACAATGTTATGAATTATTCAAAAAATCTTTTACCCTCTCTCTGTTCTAGTAGAAAGCGATATTGCTTCTGAGATAGAATTCCAGGGGTTGAAGGATTTGGACATATTTTAGACTATTTCATGTTTCGTCGTATTCGCTTTGTAGCAGAACTTAAGACTAGCGAACTACTTTTACAATCAAAACCAACCAAAGTGGGAATTGCCTCGGACACGTCCATGCAACGAAACATCTGGAATCGTTTATTCAGTCTGTTACAGTTTCAAACAAAACTGACATGAATGGAAAAACTAAATGTTTGCTTCGGCCATAATTCCCCGAACACGTGGAAGCTTTGTGGAGAAATGACGCTTACCTTAAAGTAGTGGCTCGATCGCTGAGACCCGGTCAGAGATTTACATCAGAGTATGCCGAACGATTACAGTGGCCTCTCCATCCAAAATGCGGTGCTGGGACTTAGTTTGACCAATGTAGTTTGTCACTCGGGAAGAGCACAGCATGGTTAGCCGGATAACCGGGAATTAATCACACCGACATGCAACACGCATGATGGAATTTTGGCAATTATCTTCTCACATGTCGGTCATTAAGAATTATGTACATTGGTTAACCGCTGTCTTCAATAAATTGGAGGTGCCGTCAACTGTCGTGTGTATGCTGTAGCATAGCGACTGCGCATTATCAATTCTGCAACGTCTTTCGTGTGAATCTCCCATATCTGGCTCTCAATCTGATACTGTGTTTGCACGTGAGTACAAATAGTCGGACGAGGAACACTTGTCTAGCATTATGCAGACAAATACCATTATTTGGGAAAGATTGGGCGCAGCGCAAAGGTTACGTTTTTGAGTTTGTATGAAAGATAGTTTGCACCTCCTTGCACTTGATAGAGCAGGTGCTAATTTCCTCGTTTTCACCGCAATGATAAATTACTATCAGCTCTGCATTTGTGAGGTTATACCAAAGGAGGAGATATACGGAACAAGTCCCTGATTTTCGACATTTCAGATTGGGGTAGAACTGGCCGACGACGGTTAGCTAGCCAAGATTGACCATTTCAATGTTTCCTATCTTCGTCGAGAGTGCTATCGTATCGAGCGTTTTCTGCCAAAATAAATTCTGTTAATATCTGACTGGTTTAGCAGGATTCAACAGTTTTGCTTTACATCAATAAACAAACGGGCAGTAGCTTCTTGTTATTTGTTTCAGCGTACATCGTATAAAGTTTCCTCTGCCTAATAAATTAGCCCTAAATTGTAATACTTTTCCCTAGACATGAATACCTCATGTGAGGTGCTCGAACCTCTGTGGTTGTGCGGGCTAGGACACGTTGGAATTGCAAGCGTTAGTTTATCGGCGTTATTGCAGTACTTTTGCAGGCCTTTTTGAGAATGCTCCTGCGAATGTTGACGTGTGAATGCGTTTTTATGGTAGATCAAAGGCTTATTGAAATTTAAAAGCGTTGGAATACTGCGATCGCCATTTGTGACGAGATAATTAATTTTCCAAATCATCGCCCGGTATAAGCAGCAACAGAACCGATACGTTAAGGGTCCCAAGTGTTCCAGAAATCATGGAATCCCAGTGTCCTCTAATTAAATTTGCTACCTTGGGAGACAGTCCTTACTACAAGACCTATTCATTTTCTTCATGTACCGGCATTCTGACGTCTGCGGGGGATTTGCCAGTAAAAGTAAGATGGGCCTGCAAACTGCCTATCAGCCAAGATGATCGAATCGATCGAAACTGGCAGATTAATTTGTTATCTGTCCTAGAGTGCAATTCTAACAACTTTCCGACTTGTTCCCTGCTAATCTTTCCCGCGGAGGCCACTTTTGTGCTCAAATTGGTATTTCCCGAATTTGCGACATTAACTGCAATGAAGGCAAGCTTATGTTTCTTCACTTCCGCTGTTGTAAACAAGACGTCTTAGATTTATTCGTCAATGTTTCTTGAACGTGTTAGAACATTCATTGATCTATTTTGAGGAACTGCCAGTCTGTTGATTTGGCTAGGAATGTAAGGATTTAACTTAGGCAGGAACAATTTCACAATCAAATGTTGGTTTGAACCCTACAGGCCATCCGGCGATTTTAAGGCAGACGCCTTTATAGAACAGATTAGATCAGATCAGATTTATTAAGGGAAAAGTAGGCGAACGCCTTTGAACTCCCTTTTGGTTACAATAACGTCATAAAAAACAATGTGTAAGGCAAGTGTGAAAAAAATTAGGTAAGTAATTACATACAACAAGCATTGGTCACTGGTATGAATTTGTCTGTGAATGCCTTCTGTGTCAAGATTGTACAATATCCAATACGGCAATGAATGGACCAAGTAATATTAAAGCAAGCGCATATGTGGCGGTCAGGAGATAGCGAAAATTGTGAAACGTAATGTTACTAAAATATAGGGAGTAGCATGCTTTGTAACATAAAACGTTGGATGGGACGGGTGGCACAGGGGGGGTTCGTTAGTTTCTGATGCTGTGGAGGTACATATCCCTGTACTGGTCAAGCTTTCTCTTAAATGAGTCCACGGATGAGGACATGACGACATCCACAGGTAGGGCGTTCCACGCCTTTACCACTCTGTGGCTGAAGAAGGACCTTCTTGCGTCCAGTCTCGCTCCTGTCACACGTAGTTTCAGAGGGTGTCCTCTCAAGCTAGTAGTGGTGGCCAGCTCAAAGAAGTCGCCGGATGCGAGGCAGCGGTCCTGACCCCGTAACATTCTAAACGTTTGAATTAAGTCGCCAAGGAGTTGTCTGTAGTCCAGGGGAAAGAGGTTTAGATTTGAAAGTCTGGTTTCGTAAGGTAGGTTTTTATGACCTCTGACAAACTTGGTTGCCCGTCGTTGGACTTTTTCGAGGGTGGTACGATCCTTAACAGTCCAGGGTCTCCAGGCCTGAATGGCAAATTCTAACTGTGAGCGCACAAACATCCCGAAGACCTTGCGGAAGCACTCTTCATCGAACTTGGCAAATGCCCGCTTGATGAGATATAAGGTGGACATTGCGGATTTTGCTGCTTTCAAGCAGTGGAATGATGGCTTTAGTGAAGATGTTATCCACACCCCTAGGTCTTTCTGAACGTCTACCAGTGGCAGCGGTGTGTGATTTAGATAGTACGTCTGCCGGTGCGCAGAACTGGTTCTGCCAATCCTCAGAATGTTGCATTTGGTAACATTAAATGGGAGGAGCCAGTGGCCTGACCATTTTTCGAGTCGGTCTAAGTTTGCCTGTAAATTTGCTTCATCGTCCTCGTTGCGGATGACGGTCCAAAGCTTTATATCGTCAGCAAACAGGGCAATCTTGCAGTCCAATCCATGGATACAGTCATCAATATAGATGAGGAAGAGGATAGGGCCAAGAACGGAGCCCTGAGGTACTGCGCTCGTAACCGTCACCTCTGCCGAGTGCTGGCCACCAAGACGAACAGTCTGGGACCGACCGACCAAAAAGTTTTCAATCCACTTCAAAAGCTTGCCTCTTACCCCTATGCGGCTGAGCTTGTGTAGGAGACGTTGGTGTGGCACGCTGTCAAATGCCTTCTTGAAGTCTATGTAGGCCACATGCACAACGTTTCCTTCATCAATCGCTGGGGTCCACTGTTCAAGACAGTAGAGTAGATTGGTTAAGCAGGACCTCCCTCTGCGGAAACCGTGCTGTGCATCGCACAGAAGATGATTTTGCTCTAAAAACCGCATCAGTTCGCGTTTGATTATTCGCTCCATAACTTTGCAGCATATGGAGGTGAGGCTTACTGGTCGGTAGTTGTTTGCGGAAGCGCGACTGCCATTTTTATGAATCGGTGAAATCCACGCAGTCTTCCAATCAGGAGGCAGTCTGCCTGCATAAAGAGAGGCTTGGAAGAGGACGCTCAGAGGTTCTGCCAATTCTTTGGCTAATTCCTTCAACAACTTTGCCGGTATTTCGTCAGGACCGGGCTAAGTCCCTTCTTTTAGCTTCAGTAATTCCTGTTGAACAATAGGTTTTGTGAGAACCACTGGGTCAATTGTCGGGACATTGTCCACATTACAGTGATCAGTGGGTACAGCGACTTCTCTCGTAAAGACCGACTGAAAGAACCTGGACAGATGTTCAGCCTTTTCGTCGTCCTTGTAAAGTTCAACGCCATCATCAGTTTTTAGCATAGGGATGGGATCCCTGTTGC